TCTATCTATCTATCTATCTATCTATCTATCTATCTCCCTCCCCCTCTCCTCTTGATCACCTTCTCTCTCCCTCTCTATCTCCCTCTACCTACCTACCTATTTATCTCTATCTAACTATCTCCCTCTCTCTCTCCTTCCCCCCCCCCATCCTGGGGTCTCTACTAAACGCTGGCAATGACTGATCATCTGGATGGCCTTTCCATTCTCTGCTGGCCATTTGAGGTCATGGGGATTATAGGGCAAAGGAGACAGACCTGGCCAGCCAAAAGCCACAGAGAAACATCTCAGGGGGAGTTCTCCCTTCCATTTCTGCTTCCAAGCAGGAGACAGAGCAACAAAGATGATTAGGGGACTGGAGGCGAAAACATGTAAGGAACGGTTTCTGGAATTGGGTATGTCTAGTCTAATGAAGAGAAGGACGAGGGGGGACATGATAGCAGTATTCCAGTATCTCAGGGGTTGCCCCAAAGAAGAGGGAGTCAAGCTATTCTCCAAAGCCCCTGAAGGCAGGACAAGAAGCAATGGATGGAAACCAATCAAGGAGAGAAGCAACTTAGAAGTAAGGAGAAACTTCCTGACAGTTAGAACAATTAACCAGTGGAACAACCTGCCTCCAGAAGCGGTGAATGCTCCAACACTGGAAGTTTTTAAGAAGGGACTGGACAGCCATTGGTCTGAAATGGTGGTAGGGTCTTCTGCTTGAGCAGGTAGTTGGACTAGAAGATCTCCAGGGTCCCTTTCTACTCTGTTATTCTATTCTACTCTACTCTACTCTACTCCACTCCACTCTCCACTGCACTCCACTCCACTCCACTCCACACCATATTCTATTCTATTCTATTCTATTCTATTCTATTCTATTCTATTCTATTCTATTCTATTCTATTCTATTCCTAATTGTATTAATATTCTATTCTATTCTATTCCTAATTGTATTAGTATTCTATTCTATTTCTAATTGTATTAATATTCTATTCTATTCTATTCCATCCCATTCCAATATTCTGTTCTGTTCTATTACTACCTTAACAACTGCAGTGATTCACTTAACAACTTTGGCAAGGGAGGTCGTAAAAGGGGGCAAAAGTCACTTGACAAATGTCTCACCTAGCAACAGAAACTTTTAGCAGTATTTGCTGAACAGGTATGGCGAAAAAGGTCATAAAATTGGGCCCGGCTCACTGCCTTGCTTAGGAACAAAAAATCTGGCCCAAATTCTAGTCGTTAAGTCGAGGACTCCCTGTATTGTCACTTCTCTGTATTGTTGGGGCAGCAACGTCGGTTTGAATCAGAATCACGGCCGGGAGAAAGGAATCGTTTTTTTAAAAAAAGCTAAATCGGAGAGGCAGTTCGGTGTAGTGGTTAAAGGAGCAGGAGCAGAAACTGGAAGACAAAGCAGCCAGCTGAAGGACTACGGACTACAGGCAGTCCCCGACTTACGACTAGAATGGAGTCCAATGTTTCTGTTGCTCAGTGAGACATTGGTTCAGTGAGTTTTGCACCCGTTTTACGACCTTCCTGGCCAAAGTTGTTAAGTGAATCACTGCAGTTGTTAGGTTAGCCACGCGGTTGTTAAATGAATCCAGCTTCTCCCGTTGACTTTGCTTGTCCGAAGGTCGCAAAAGGGGATCACGTGACACCCCCCCCGGGGACGCTGCAAACCGTCGTAAATATGAGTCAGTGGCCAAGCGTCCAAATTTTGATCACATGACCACGGAGATGTTGCGACGGTCGTAAGTGTGAAAAACGGTCGTAAGTCACTTTGTTCAGTTGCTGTTGTAACTTAACAAGCTGTTGTAAGTCGAGGACAATCTTACTCTAACAGCCCAGCTTATTTCAAAAGTCACTACAGGAGTGAAAATAACAGGAACAAGCACTATATCCATTGCCTGGAACTGCACAAAAATAAAAGCGGGATAATTATCTATTATTAATGGGTTTTTTTAATTAATCAACATGCCAATGGAGGGAAAGGGACATTTGTGGGGGGGGGGGGGTTTGCACAGATCTCGACCACGTTCAAAGAACCCACAACTCCTTAGGTGAGAACAAGCCAGCTAAAACACCCTGGGGTCTATCTGTCAAAAGTAAGCTTTGTTGAAACCGGCATTTTCCGAAGTGGGTGTCCTCCAGATATTATGAAATCTGCAAGCTAACATTTGTTTAAGAGATGTAAAAAATAAAAAAAATAAAAATGCAGAGTAAATGAAACGACTTGTTTTTGACTAATTACCGGTAAAAGCATTAAAACTGGAGGGGAGAAAGGGAGAGGGGGGAGAAAGGAAGGAAGGATATCCCAAAATCATTGAAAAATTCGATCTGAGCTTCTCCAGATTTTTCTAAAGGAGACCGCGGGAACCAAAACTAAGAAAGAAAGGTATCGGCCCATTGGTTAAAAAAAGTTGGGAAGTTTTGTTCCAAGCGATCTGGAGAAGTTTCAAAAAGCTTCCATCGGCCAAAAAAAGGATTGATAAACAAAGTATATACTTGGATTTTACATGTGATAAACAGCGGCAAGAATCATATTCGCACCATACTGGAAAAATGGAAGAAACACCCCCAGAGGAAGAAATAATTAAAAAAAAAAATACTAGAATGTGCAGAAATGGACAGTCTTACTTTGAGGTTGAAAGAAAAAGAAGAAACAGAATACTTTCAAACTTGGGACTTATTTTATCAATGGCTGGAGAGAATAATAATAATAATAATAATAATAATAATAATAATAATAATAATAATAATAATAATAATAATAATAATAATAATAATAATAATAATAATAATAATAATAATAATAATAATAATAATAATAATAGATGAGAAAGAACTGGAGAAGATCACAAAATACAAAGACCTACAAATAGAAATAGAAAGACTGTGGCAAAGGCAAGCAAGGGTAGTACCAATAGTAATAGGTGCCTTGGGTGCAATCTCAAAACAACTGGGGCACCACTTGAACACCATTGGCATTGACAAATTCACCATTAGTCAATTGCAAAAGGCGGCCTTACTAGGAACTGCTTCCATCCTGTGATGATATCTGTAATACCATCAAACATCCACATCTGCCTAGCCCAGGTCCTTGGGAAGGACTCGATAGGTAGACAAAAATGCCAGATCCAGTCTGAACATTTGGCTGACTGTGCGATGATCCATAGTAGTAGTAGTAGTAGTAGTAGTAGTAGTAGTAGTAGTAGTAGTAATAGTAATAATAATAATAATAATAATAATAATAATAATAATAATAATAATAAAGTTGGAAGGGATCTTGGAGGTCATCTAGTCCAATCCCCTGCTCAGGCAGGAAACCCTGTACCATTTCAGACAAATGGCTGTCCAGTCTCTTCTTAAAAACTTCCTGTGTTGGAGCATTCAACGCTTCTGGAGGCAGGTTGTTCCACTGATGAATTGTTCTCACTGTTAGGAAGTTTCTCCTTAGTTCCAGGTTGCTTCTCTCCTTGATGAGTTTCCATCCGTTGCTTCTTGTCCTGCCTTCAGGCACTTTGGAGAAAAGCTTGACTCCCTCTTCTTTGGGGCAGCCCCTGAGATACTGGAACACTGCTATCATGTCCCCCCTCGTCCTTCTCTTCACTAAACTAGACAAGACTAGACTAGACTAGAACAAAGGATTAGGAATTAAATTTGTATTTGTGAATGGTAAACCCAGACAACACCTTTGTTGAATAAATGCTACTGAATTGTATGAAAAAAAAATAACAAAAACTTTACACACACACACACAAAAAGCTTCCATCAGCCAGAGCCTAAGGACACACTACTCTGAATAATTTACAGGTGAAAATCGATTCATTTAGCAACCGCTCTAAATAGAGTTATAATAAAATAAATAAATAAAGTTGGAATAAATACAATATGAAGCAATGGAGGATGGAAACGAAGAAGGAGAGATCCAAGCTAGAAATAAGGAGAAATCTCCTGACAATAAATCAGCGGAACGGCCTGCCTCCAGAAGTGGTGGGTGCTCCATCACGGGAGGTTTCCAAGAAGAGACTGGACAGCCACTTGTCTGAAATGGCGTAGGGTCTACTGCTCGAGCAGGGGGCTGGACTAGAAGACCTCCAAGGTCCCTTCCAACTGTTCCTCTGTTACATTCCCTCCTCCTTCACCTGTCTCCTCTGAAGATAAACTGGGCCACTTAAGGGTGGACTTGAAATCCCAGCTGGAAGCCACCGTGAAGGATGTCACCTGCTGTGAGATGAGCAGATTGCCTTACTCTCTAACATCTCTGTGTCTTCTACTCCAAGATAAAAAACACTCAAGAAGTGTCAGATGATTGTTCCACCAAGAAGCAGCTACATGATTTCCCTGGAGGGAAGTACACTCTTCCCTCTTGGAAGTCCTCTAAGTGATTTTCAATTTTACTGGGGTTGCCTCCTGTCGCTTTTTCCCCCGGCTCGTCTAAAACTTTTGTCCCAAACCGAGTAGAGCATGAGTGTCCTTTCAAAACTCTACATCCAATCTTATATATAGAATAGAAGCTGGAAGGGACCTTGGAGGTCTTCTAGTCCAGCCCCCTGCTCAAGCAGGAGAACCTACACCATCTCAGACAGGTGACTGTCCAGTCTCTTCTTAAAAATCTCCAGTGATGGAGCACTCACGATTTCTGGAGGCAACTTCTGTTCCACTGGTTGATTGTCCTCACTGTCAGGAACTTTCTCCTTAATTCCAGGTTGCTTCTCTCTTTGGCCAGTTTCCAACCATTGTTTCTCGTCCTGCCCTCTGGTGCTTTGGAGAATAATGTGACCCCCTTCTTCTTTGTGGCAGCCCCTCAGATACTGGAACACTGCTATCATGTCTCCCCTATTTCTTCTCTTCTTTAGACTAGCCAAACCCAAGTCCCGCAGCCGTTCTTTGTATGTTTTAGTCTCCAGGCCTTGGATCATCTTAGTTGCTCTTCTCTGATTTTTTTCCAAACTCTCAGCATCTTTTTTTGTAATACGGTAACCAAAATTGGCTGCGGTATTCCAGGTGAGGCCTCACTAGGGTTTTCTAAAGCGGTACTAAATACTTCTTCGAGGAAAAAAAATTAAGAGGCCCTCTGTTTTCTTGCAACTCTCCCCCCCCCTCGAATTAAAGTAAAGAAAAATACAACCTGATCCAATATTCGATTCAGGAGCCAAGGAAAATCTGTCTGATAGGGCTAAGACTAAGTCGAGACTGGGAAGGGGAGGTCTCAAGAGGAGAGGCGGAGCAAAATTGGCTGACTTAGTCTACGGGCAGAAGACAAGCAAAACCCATTGGTGGATTCTCCACTCATCATGCTGGAGAAGAAGTTCTCAAATAATATCTCAAAGGGAGGAGTTTCCCCTTAGCTGTGATAATCAAGGTAGACCAAGTGATGTCCTGCAGACTAAGTCCTGTCCTGCTCAATGAAAAGAACAGCATCGCCAATAGATGGTCATGTGGAAAATACCCATTGAAGGGACACTGGTTTTGTTATTGAAGGTCTTATGTCAATCTTCTCCAGCTCAACCAGAATCTGTCTGGCTTACTTCTCTGGACAAAACTTCTTTGGTATCTAGACTACTTAACTGGAAGGGGACACTGAGTTCACCCATTTGTTCCATCCAAATTAAAGGATCTGCATCTACTGGCTAACTAGTATAGGTGGTACCTAGCTCAATAGTAGCAACTGTGAGAGGGATCTTGAAGTCCTAGTGGACAATCACTTAAATGGGAGCCAGCCGAGGGTTGCAGCTGCCCAAAAGCCAACACAGTGCTAGGCAACATTAATAGAGGGAATAGGATCAAGATCACATGAAGGGTTAATACCGCTTTACAATGCCTTGGTAAGGCCACACTTGGAATCCTGCCTCCAGTTTTGGTCACCACGATGTAAAAAAGATGTTGAGACTCTAGAAAGAGTGCAGAGAAGAGCAACAAAGATGATTAGGGGGCTGGAGGCTAAAGCATGTAAAGGACGGTGGCTGGAATTGGGTACGTCTACTCTAGTTTAATGGAGAGAAGGACTAGGGGTGACAGGATAGCAGTCTTCCAATATCTCAGGGGCTGCCCCAAAAAAGAGGGAGTCAAACTATTCTCCAAAGCACCTGAAGGCAGGGCAAGAAGCAACAGATGGAAACTCTAGGAGAGAAGCAACCTAGAACTAAGAAGAAATTTCCTGACAGTCAGAACAATTAATCAGTGGAACAACCTGCCTCCAGAAGTTGTGAATGCTCCAACACTGGAAGTTGTTAAGAAGACATTGGCAACCATGTGTCGGAAATGGTATAGGGTTTCCTGCCTGAGCAGGAGGTTAGACTAGATGACCTCCAAGGTCCCTTCCAACTTTTTATCATCATCATCATCATCATCATCAACATCATCATCATCATCATCATCATCATCATCCTTTGGGATGTGTCCATGTATATACAACTCTCTCTCTCTCTCTCTCTCTCTCTCTCTCTCTCTCTCTCTCTCTCTCTGTGTGTGTGTGTGTGTGTGTGTGTGTGTAAATGTGGGGTAGAGAAGGGTGGAGGTGTTGAAAGAGCAAAATAGCTGGTGGCGAAGGATTAACTCGCCCCCTCTGGCAACGCACACGGTATCTCCAAGCCACCACACCGCAGCTGTTCACAAAGCTCGGCGTCTTGGCAGCCGTTTCTGCCAAGGGTCTCTCTCTCTCTCTCTCGGCTGAAATGGCCAAAGACGGATAAAATATTCCCGCTATCCTTTGCACTGGGCTAGTCCAGAATTCCAGATTCCCAGCTGGCATCTGCTTGGGCTTCTCTGCTCCCGAAACAGTCTTGAGCACTCTTAAGGTGCTGGATCCGAAGGTGAGATGCCACGCTACTACGCTTCTGACATGAAAGGGGCAACCTTGATTCGGGGGTGACCCTGTTTCTCGCTCAGAGGGACTTCTCCAGCCTCGGTCTGTCTTGCTTCCTAACTACTACAGTTAGAACTAAGGGGAGCATCAACCCCCACTCAACTTTGCAGGAGAGAAGTTCCAAAGTCACGTCAGAAAGTACGACTTCACAGAACGAGTCATTGGAAGCCACTTCCATCAGAAGTAACGGGTCAATGCTAACCCTAATCCTAACTCTAACCCTCAACTTCGCCGGAGAGAAGTTCCAAAGGCACATCAGAAAGTACGACTTCACAGAAAGAGTCATTGGAAACAACTTCCAGCAGAAGTAAAGGGTCAATGCTAACCCTAACCCTAACCCTCAACTTCGCCGGAGAGAAGTTCCAAAGTCACGTACATCAGAAAGTACGACTTCGCAGAAAGAGTAATTGGAAGCCACTACGGCAGAAGTAACAGGTCAATATTAACCCTAACCCTAACCCTCAACTTCGCCGGAGAGAAGTTCCAAAGTCACGTACGTCAGAAAGTACGACTTCGCAGAAAGAGTCATCGGAAGCCACTTTCGGCAGAAGTAAACGGGTCAATGCCCGGGAACCGCGTTCAAACCCGCTTGGGATAGACCCAGGCCCATCGTCTGACAAAAATTAAAAAACTACAATCAAATCCAATCTGTAAAATTGAATTAACAATTAAAAAGAAATAAATGGAAAAGGAAACCAAAAAAGCAAAGAAACAACAACAAAAAACAAACCCTCCACGGGGGAGACTCGATACGGGTACGGCCACAGTGGAGCCCAAAACGTCCGCTGCTAAGAGGGGACGGTTGTTAAGGGAGTTTTGCTCCGTTTTACGACCTTTCTTGCCACAGCTTTTAATTGAATGGAGGAGGAGGAGGAGGAGGAGGAGGAGGAGGAGGAGGAGGAAGAGGTTGATGGTTTTCTTGAAGCCGTTTCACAACCCAACTAGGTAGCATCACGAGGAGGGACATCGCAGCCTCCTTCCAAGATCTCCTTCCAAGTTCATCCTGGAAGCCCTTTGAGGATGATCCCAGGAGTCAGGCGGAGGCCTCTGATGTGTGAAAAGCCAGACCAGGTGTAGCAATGGCATCAGTTGGGTACTGGGTGCAAGACATTAATCACGCACGGCAGGCCAAAAGCCAGAGGTGGGAGCAGCACACTGGTTTGCATTTCCCCTGGGTGACAAACCACCTTTGCGATTTTTCCTCCCGTTGGCAACCTGGTCCTAGGCCAGTGATGGCGAACCTTTTAGAGACCGGGTGCCCAAACTGCAACCCAAAACCCACTTATTTATCGCCGGGTGCCAGGTGGGTGTGGCCCACTGGGTGGGCGTGGCTATGGTGGTCATGGCAGATTGGGTGGGAGTGGCCAAGGTGGGCGTCATTACCTCAATGTTGCTCGTAGGGAGGGACGCCTGTGGGGGCCGGGCAGGGTTGGGGGAGATCCAAGGGGTCTCTGCCAAGTGGGGCGGTGGGCAGGAGGCTCGTCCTGCGGGGTGAGGCAAGGCGAGGCAGGGTGGGGGTACCATTGTCACAGGGCAAGGTGTGGCAGGGGTAGGGGAGGCTGCTGCCTTACACCATCGGCCCCCGCACACAGAGGCCAGCGAGCGCATGGGTGCTGGGATGCATCCGGCCATGTGGGACCTCGGCGAGTTAGTGGGCGGCTGGTTGAAGAGGGATGGCATGGTCTGTGTGCCCACAGAGAGGGCTCTGAGTGCCGCTTCTGGCACGCGTGCCACAGGTTCGCCACCACTGTCCTAGGCTGAACTAGGATTCCCACCACGACCCCACCCCCAAAAATCCCGGCGTATAAATCTAACTTTTCTTCTCCTGCTTCACTCTGTGACTCTCAGGACACTGCCCCTAGGAGGGGGGGAACCAAATATCACTGCCTTCCCTGCAACCGAGTGGTTGCCTTGGGTGGAGAGGGAGGGACAAAGGGGAGCTACGGCACGAAGCACGTTGAGCTACGGACTGGGATGACGTGGTCGCTGTTATTAAAGCCGCTTGAATTCGGATTCCTTCGCTGCCGTGAAAAGAATGATGACCGAGTCCTCTGGGTGGCTTGAGAAAAAAAAAATAAGAAAAAAGAAATAGCTTCTGTACGGTTAAAGCGAGTGGGTGAAAAGGAAAAAAAAGCAAAGTGAAGACAAAAGGCAACCCAAAGATTGGGTAAATTGAATTGATCCGTGTGTTCTACTTCGCGGATCACTTCTTCAAATCCGAAGCAGATCTCTCTCTATTTGTTGGTTGCTCCTTAAAAGAAGCTGCACCTCTTCCTGACTTGCATGTTTGGTGTGGTGGTTAAGGTGCTGGCCTAGAAAACCAGGAGACTGGGAGTTCTAGTCCTGCCTTAGACAAGAAAGCCAGCTGGGTGACTTTGGGCCAATCACCAGGAGATGGTGAGTTCTAGTTCCGCCTTAGGCATGAAAGCCAACTGGGTGACTTTGGGCCAATCACCAGGAGACTGTGAGTTCTAGTCCCACTTTAGGCATGAAAGCCAGCTGGATGACTTTGAACCAATCTCCAGGGCCCTGTGAGTTCTAGTCCTGGGTTAGGCATGAAAACCAACTGGATGACAATCACTAGGAGATGGTGAGTTCTAGTTCTGCCTTAAGCATGAAAACCAGCTGGGTGACTTTGGGCCAATCACCAGGAGACGGTGAGTTCTAGTCCCAGTTTAGGCATGAAAGCCAGCTGGGTGACTTTGAACCAATATCCAGGGCACTGTGAGTTCTAGTCCTAGCATGAAAGCCAACTGGATGACAATCCCCAGGAGATTGTGAGTTCTAGTTCTGTCTTGGCCATGAAAGCCAGCTAGCTGACCTTGGCCCCAGTGTCTCTCTCTCTCTCTCTCTCTCTCTCTCTTCCTCTTTCTCTCTCTTCCTCTTTCTCTCTCTCTCTCTCTCTCTCAATCCAACCCATCTCACAGGGTGGTTGTTATGGGGAAAATAGGAGAAGGAAGGTGTGCTGAATATGTTCGCCATATTGAGTTATTTGTAAAAAATAATAAAGGCAGGATACAAATAAATATATTCCGGAACTCCCCAATTCTAACAAGATTAGGCTGGCTGGGAGAGATTCTTCCAGCATCCTTTTCCAGTGGTTTACAACCAACACCCCTGATTGTGTAGACCAGTGTTTCTCAACC